GCTGAAGTAACTATATTAACTTCAGACAAAGCAGACTTTGTCGGGTAATTAGGGATAAAGAGGGTCATTATGTGATAATAAAGAGGTCAATTCTCCAAGAAGACATAACAATCTTGTACTTGTTTACACCTAACGAATGAGAGGGTATCAAAACACATGAAGCAAAACCTGAGAAAAATGAAAAGAGGAGATAAATCCACTATTATAGTGAAAGACTTCAACAACACTGTCAGTAATTGACAGATCGAGCAGACAGAAAATCAATAAGGAAATAGATGACCTGAGCAGCACATCAATCAACTTGATCTGACATTTAAAGAAAACTCCATCCAACAACAGCTGAAAACATATTTTTCTCTAGCCCACATTCACCAATGTAGACCATATTCTGGGCCATAAAACACACTTTAACAGATTTAAAGGAACAGAAACCATACAAAGTATGTTCTTAGACACAGTGGAATTAAACTAGAAATCAGTAACAGAAAGGTTAAAAAAAAAAAAAAACAACCCAGATATCTGGAAATTAAAGTCTCAAGAGAAATTTTAAAATATTTTGAACTAAATGAAAATGAAAATACAGCTTATTAAAATTTGTGGGATGCAGCAAAAGTAGTGATTAGAAGGAAATTTATAGCATTAAAATGGATTCGAGTTCAAGACATGAGTATGAACCCATGTTTAGCTTAACATGTTAGCTTTAGATACAGATGGTTACACATATATTTCCATATATGTACATATATATTTCCTTGCTTGTCAGATGAGAGGGCCTAGAAGAATGACACCCCAAGTGACAACAAGCATACCTAGTGCCCAAATCTTGGGGTATTTTTTAATAAATTTTATTTATTTATTTATTTTTGGCTGTGTTGGGCCTTCGTTGCTGAGTGTGGGCTTTCTCTAGTTGCAGCGAGCAGGGTTTACTCTTCTTTGTGGTGCACGGGCTTCTCATCACAGTGGCTTCTCTTGTTGCAGAGCATGGGCTCTAGGTGTACAGGCTTTGGTAGTTGTGGCATGTGGGCTCAGTAGTTGTGGCTCGCCGGCCCTAGAGCGTAGGCTCAGTAGTTGTGGCACATGGGCTTAGTTGCTCCACGGCATGTGGGATCTTCCCGGACCAGGGCTCGAACCCATGTCCCCTGAATTGGCAGGCGGATTCTTAATCACTGCACCACCTGGGATGTCCCCCAAATCTTGCTTTCTAACAGCATTCTCCAATAAAAAGAACCAAAGCTCCTTGAAGAAATGACTGACTCTAGGACGGGGAAAGGAAATATACCAGATGAGCCTGAAGTATCTTGTAGTGCCAGAAAGTAAGGAAGTACCACAAAAAAAACAAGAAGAAACCCACAATGATGGGGGTATGTCAAAGGAACAGGTGGAACCAACTGAAAGAGTTTACAATGGCCATAGCTAAAACAATTTGAGCAAAAAAATAGTGGTATTGCATTATAACCCAAAGTATAAGATAAATATCCATGAGTTCATAGTAATAGGGATTACAGATGGAAAAAGATTGAGCATTAATAGGTTATTTAAAATCTATTAATTTTCTTCATGTCTGAAATTTTCCATAGTAAACCTTTTAAATATATATAAAATAAGTGTATATATATAAATGTGTTTATATATAAATGGGTGTGTGTGTATATATGTATATGTGTGTGTGTGTGTGTGTGTGTGTGTAGATGTAACCCAACAAACAAACGCTCCTTTGACCTTTACACTACCGTTTTTGGGTTCTGTATGTATGTTGGTTTCTAGGGGTTATAATGTGCTTACACGACTAAGTTCTCCACTAATTTTGGTCCATGGACACAGATTCTAGTAGTCTGTCCTTATGAGTTTTGTGTGTATTTGTATATATTAAGTATTTTCTCCTCACTTCTGCTTCCTCCTTATTATTTAACAGAAGATTCATAGGAGATCAACTTAAAAATTTAGTCTGTAGATAACAGAATGTTCACATGGAAATGCACGTTGTAGGCTGTGTACAGATGCAGAGTATCAGAAGGGTGAATTGTACCAGTGAAGTTAGTCTCCTAGCTCTAAGTCCACTCTCTATACTCCAGTGGCTCTCAGCCAGAGCCTGAGATATTTGGCAATGTCTGGGAAAACCGGGACACCACAGGGGTCTTTTGGTAATGTCCAGAAATATTTTTGGTTGTCACAGATTGGGGGATCCTACTAACATGTGGTGGGTAGAGGCCAGGGATGCTGCTAAACATCCTACAATGCAGAGGACAGTCCCCAGCAATGAAGAATTATCTGGCTCAAAATGTCAACAATGCCAAGTTTGAGAAACTCTGTTCTGTTCTGTAATGCTGGGGCTGGGACTCTACATATAGCATTTTTCCAACTACAGCTGACCCTTGAACAATTCGGCAGGGAGGAAGAACAACCCTCCACTCAGTTGAAAATCTGCTTAGACAGTAGGCCTTCCATATCAGAGGATCTGACCAATCACAGATCTTGTTGTACCGTAGTATTTACTGTTGACCAAAAAATCTGCGTATAAATGGACCTGTGCAGTTCAAATCTGTGTTGTTCGAGGTCAGCTGTATGGATCAATGAAACAACCTGGATGAACTTGGAAATACACAGGAAAAAGTCTTCAGTCTCAATAATTAGTAAAGACATGCAAATAAAAATAAGGTACTATTGTCTAACTCAAATCAGCAACATTTTCAGTGCTCACTGAAGTACATGTAGTTAAATGATACAGTTATCTGTGATGAAAGTTATAAATTGCAGGGCCTTTTTAAAAAGCAGTTTCACAATGGCATAGGAGCCTTAAAAACCTTTATACATTTGGTCAGTAATCCCACTTTCTCTAAGAATAAAAATCCTAAAGAAATAATAAATCAAGTGAAAAACTGGGTATATCCTAAAGCAAACTCTAAAAAATTCCATAATAAAGATATAAATAAACCACAGTATATACAAATAAGTACAAAGGCCAAATTAATTTTATATGAAAAACTTGAAGGAAATGCCTTATAGAAGTTAAGATTTAAGTTTGACTTTAAGACTTCAATGGCCAAAAACTGAAATATCTCAAGCGGAGAGCTGAAGTCTTGAGAAACTGCAACATTTGTTTTTAGTTTTCCAAACAGAATACCAAGTAGGAAGGTTGGCTATAATGAATACACACAGCTGGTTAAGGCTAGTGGAAGGTGATTAATTCTATGAGGACAGGCTGGGGCTGTGACCCTGAGGATGAGAATTAACTTGTTCTGCATGCAAAAGGAAGCTAACTCATGTCTTTAAGCAAATACACCTTAGGAAGAAAATTCTAGGAACAGTGTGTAAAATGGTTTGGGACAGAGGAAAAAAAAAAAAAATCTAGAGCCAGGGAGGCCAGTTAGACTCACCCAGACACATGTAAACACATGTTCACAGCAGTGTTACTCACAGCAGCCAAAACACAGCAACAACCTAGTGTCCATCAACGGATGAATGGATAAACAAACTGTGCTACAGCCACTCGGCAGAGTAGTAGCCAGCCATACCCAAGAATGAAGTCTGAGAGACACTACGGCATGGATGAACCTTGAACACATTAGATGAAATAAGCCAAACACAAAAGGGCAAATACTGTACGATTCCAATTCTGTGAGGCCTCTAGAATAAGCAAATTCAGAGACAGAAAGGGCTGGGAGGAGGGGAAATGGGGAGTTAACGCTTAATGGTTTCAGAGTTTGTGTTTAGGGTGAGGGAGAAACTTTTGGAAATAGCGGTGATGGTGACACAATACTGTGAATGTACTTAGTACCTCTGAGCTGTACACTTAAAAATGCTTAGAACAATCAACTTCATGGTATGTGTATTTTACCACCATAGTAAAAGAGTAAAAAAAAAAAAAAGAAAAGTGAAGATAGAACTCAAATTGCAAAGAACAGCACAGAAATTGTCAAGAGGAGGCAGGAGCGGTGTGGACTACTGTTTCATGACGTTTAATTTGAAAAGCTCTACTGATAACATTAAGGGTAGAGAGAGGTTTTCTGGTTTAGATCTTTCTCAAGGCAGAGCAGACCTTAACATACGGTATATATCTAGGATATCTAGGTAACAGCTAAGAATTGAGTGTCGTTAAAAAAAAAAAAAGTCTGGCCTAAAACTCTTACTTGGGGGACGAGAGTAGCATCACAATATTTTATTGGCGCACAGCAGTATGAGAAGCATTTCAAAGTTATAATTTCATCTTACATTTGGAAAACCAACCAACCAACCAACAGCTTTCCTAGCACGAAGTAAAAAGGAATGCTGGACCAAATCTTCTTCGATGATAAAAACACACACAGCTCTTCCATCATGGGCATATTAATATCACTCAAACGGTGAAATCTACCAGTATTGGAGGGTGGAGACTTGATATTTTTATATTTATCCAAACGGCACGTACTTTAAGAGGCTGGGAAAGTTTGCAAGACAAATAACCCAATTTCTTCAACCAATACCTTGCAAAGAAAAGGGAAACTGAAGATGCTCATCCACCGAACGCCACGCAAGGACCCGCTCAAATCCTGAGCGGCACAAACCAACCACTAAAAGAACAATTAAAAAAAAATTCCTTTAAGGAAATGTGAACACTGCCCGAATACCGTGGAAACTGAGGGCAGGATACCAGCGAAGGGTTACTCAATTCGCTCTAGTTTCTATACGTTTCGAAAATTTCTGCAACCATTTTCTGGGGCATTTTAGCAAAAAGCGCCGTGGGGCGGGGGAGCGGGTCTTTCTCACGCCGCCCGCGGCCGCCCCCCGCGAGCCAGGCGCCTCCACGGCCCACCCCCGGCCTCCAGGGCCGCGTCGGCTCTGCCAACGCCCCACACACTCCCGGACGCCGGGCCAGCGGCCAGAGACCCCGCTGAGGGCGGCGGCCCGGGGCGAAGCCTCCGACTCTCCGGGCGCTCGGGCCGCGGCCGCTCGCCTGAGGCGCTGAGGGGACGGACGGAGGCCGCGCAGGCTCACACGCCGCCGCCGGGCCATCCGCTACTCACCCCGACGCCGGCAGCGCAGGACCCCGGCCTTTCGGGACTCGGGCTGTGGCATCTTCGCTCCCGCCACGGCCCGGGTCCGAGCCGCATTCGCCGCAGCGGGCGGAGCTGCCGGCAAGCAAACGCAGCAGCGGGCGCAGCAGCGGGCACACCAGCGCCCCCAGCGCTTGCCCAGTGCCCGCGCCGCGGCCTCGGCCCGAGCGCGCGCCCGCCGGGGCCACGTGACGGGCGGCCCCGGCCCCGCGCGTGACGTCACCGCCCGCTGCGGGCGCGTCGCGGCCCCCGGGCTCCACACGTTCCCGAGGCCCAGCGCCTGCGGATGGGCTCGGGGGTCGGTCGCGGGCGGCCTTCGCGTTTTTAACTCTTACATAAATGGGCTCATTGAAGACAAATTCCTTAAACATATTGAAAGATGTGCGACCCCGCTTATGATAAAAGAACTGTAGGTTAAAATGTCAAGGCTTGGCAGAAACTGTGATAAAACCTCACGGGTTGGTGGTAAGGGTGGGAAAGTACAGCGCGCCCGCAGAGCAGCCGCAGGAAGGCACATGGGGTCACGGGGGGCTTGCTAGAAATCCTGACTCTTCAGCCACCTATCAGTAAGCAAAGGATGTTGCAGCCATCAGGCCATGACCATTACAGCCCCCGCCCGCCCGCCCGGAGGTAACTCAGGGTGGAAACGGGCTGTCCGCTGCCAAGCCCCCAGCCACTGTGGCCACCCCCAAATGGTGCACTCAGGATGGGGAAGAACAGGATCCTGGCTCTGGTTGGTTAGGGTGCATAGCAAAGAAATGATCTCAGTACGCCCTGGCTCTTGCAATTCCCATGTATAGGAAAGCACTAAATTCCTTAACTTGGGTTTGATTGATTTTCTTTAACAGTAACCTTTGATGTTCAGACTATCCGATCGTCGTTGCGAAAACTCCTATCTATCCTGTCTCCCCCACCTTACCTCTTCAGAGCAGTCCCGCAGAGCTACCTGAGAGGCTGTGTCCCAGGCTTGAGTCCTCGGTTTTGTCTGCCAAATAAAACAGAATTCTCAACGTTTAGGTTATGCATTTTTTTTCAGTCGGCAGGCCCCATGCCAGACGTACTTAAGTAATCAAAATATGCGTTTTACCGCCGTGGCCAGGTGATTTATGTACACATCAAAGTCTGAAATCAGTGTCCTAAGGTGCAGTCAGTGCAGGAGACCGGCCATTGCTCCACCTTCACCCGACCCTTGTCTGTGTCAGACATTTTATTTGCCATTCTGATGGGTGTGGAGATCTGTTTCTAGCTGTCATTTTAAATGGGTTCATACTGTCCCACCAAATTAATGTACAGTCGTACCATTCCAGAAATTGAAGCTTTGGGTTAGCTCCAATTTTTTACCATTAGAAAAGAATGACATGAATATGCTTTTTGCAGTGTAGCATCTAAACCCGGGGTCTTTGAGGCTGGGCATAGGCTAGTCTATGGGCTGTGTTCATCTATCCCTAGGTACAGTTGCCAGAGGAAATATAGGAGGCTTAAAATTTGAATTTCAGATAAAAAAAATTCACTAGCATGTCCCATAGAATATGTGGAATATACTAAGATATTATTGTTTATCCAAAATTCAAGTTTACCAGGGCATGCTGTACTTTTATTTGCTAAATCTGGCAACGCTAACCCTGGACAAGTTTTAAACTTAGTTTTCTGTTTTATGATATGGTAATAACAATAGGAACTATCTTGTAAAGTTGTGTGGATGACATGAGATAATCTATGCAGAGTACCTACCAGGGGGTATGAAACATAGTGAGAGCTCAGTAATTGTTAGCTCTTATTTTTATTTCATCTCGGTGTGTCTTAGGATAAATTCCTGAAAGTATGCTTTCCTTACAGAATTCTCTGGCTAATGTAAGGCTTGTCCAAGTGTTTGGTCATACCCAAAACTGTTGTGTGAAAAGCCTTGAGCAGGTGAGCAGATACTTTCTCAAATAGCTCCAGGATACAAATCAGATTTTAAAATTTCTATACAAAACCATAATTGCCACCTACGGGCAAGTATGGGTTTCCTTTCAATCACACCAAGTACTTGGATGTTGATTCTGATTTGTTTTCTATTCCAGAGTCAGCTGAAACAATATTCTAGAGGAGATTGTTTAAGCAACATTCTACATCGCTTCTAAGACTTATTCATGCTATCTAGGACCTGAACTAAATTACATTAAAAAACTAAGACTGAATATTAGGCCCATGGCTCTAAGAAAAAGAACATTTTTCTTTTGGCAAAGCTGATATTTACATCCTTCTTTATGCTTACCAAACAAGAAGATTCTCTGAATTTATACTACAATTCTCTTTTTTCCTTCGGCTGCAGAAATTTTATTCTGTATTTTACTCTAATTTTAATGGATTCATAGGTTTATTACAATCAATTTTTTATTACTTTCTAGAGCAGCTAAGGTATAAACATGGGCCCAGAATATACTAATCACGTGGCAATTACTTTGTGCTGCCAGACTGACCTTTTAAAAGCTCAATCAAGTTACCCTGGCCATCTGTAATATTTGGGCACAGGTTTTTCCCATCTCTTTCCAGCAACAGATTTTATAGAGTACTTTGCCAAATACATGGGTATAATGACATTATAAACTGGTTCTTTTTTCTTTACATTGTATATATTATTTCAAAGAACACAAGCTCCATGAAGGGAGGGATGTTTACCTGCCCCATTGTCAGCTGCATCCCAGCACCTAGAAGGACACCTGGCCTGAGATGACCATTCAGTTGTTGATTAAATGAGCATAATAGATGAGTCAAGTCGTTTTCTGCTGTAAAAAACTAGTTTATATTTTCTCCAGCAGAAGCTATGATTTAGTGATTCTATCCTAAGCCTCCTCCTTTTTACTCCTTTCAATGTATTCCTTCCCTCATTTTCTCATTCTCTTCGTTTTGTGAATTAAATATATTTTTCACTTTTCTAGCTGCCTTCACCAGGGTGAATGCAACAGCCATCCCTCTAACCTGATAGAAGTACTTTAGACACCTGGGAGTGTGTCCACACAGGATGGATATTGAACCTAGTTACCTCTTCCCCAATCCCAGCTAAACAGTTTTCTTGAGTCATGTCGAACACAGATTATCAACAAGGCACACAAGCCAAGAAGTGTCAGGAGAGCTGAAGGCCAGAGCCATAGGAGGGAACACACGTGAAAAAGGCAAAACCAGAAGTAGGGAAGAGGGAATGTCTCCAATTAACTGAAGGGCCAACAGAAACAAACAGGCCTGGAGAGCTGGACCAGGACACCCAGGCAAGTGACTGGACATCAGAAACTCAGGAACCCAACCAAGCAATATGTCAAGGCCAGAATCTACACTGGCAGCAAGAAAGGAGCTCAATACAGTTGAATGGACCAACCAAGGCTCTCTGAGAATGTCTTTCTGGGGAGGTCACCAGCCCAGGTCACCTATCTGGAGTAGGAATTGAGTTGACCAAGAGTTGAGCAGTCCTTACGGTCTACCAGGACGAAGTGAGCTTGGCAAATAACTGGAGATAACACACTTTATCTCAATCGATTTTATGACAGGCTTAAGGGTGTGACAGCATGCATTTCTAATGCTTAAGGTCTTGCCACCCCAGAAATTTAGTGGCAGAAAAGGCACTTCTGTTGTAGACCATTCTGGTTGTACTTCTTACTGTAGTTCACATAATTTCATGATGTTCCAAACATGTTCTCTTCTCCATGTTGAAGGACTAGGGGAATTTTTAACGCTTTATTCATGAAAACGATTGGTTTTCCTTTCATGAGACTCTCTTAAGAGGTCTCCAGTTCCGGGAAGACAGTATCCAAATACCACTGAAATGACTTGCAACCCAATCGTTTCCTTAATTCAACACGCTCACTAATATCTCCATAGGCAAGATATTTCAGATTAGGTCTTCGTAAAAATACCTGCTCCTAAATGGAAAGAGAGAGTCATTAAACCAGACAAATCTTTGGTAATCAAATCATGATATCTAACATAGCAGTATGTATTTTCATCTGAACTAAAACAAAACAAAACAACAACAGAAAACCTTCCCTCTGTATGGGGAGGGCAGAGACACACATAGGAGCTGGGACTCACTCACCCCACATATATTCACCGGATGTGCTGTGACAGACCACGATGAAAGTAGCGTAGAGGGACTCAGCAAGTCTAAGTCCTGCTTCTCAAGAGTTCTAGAATCATAGCCGCCTATTGTAGTGTTTCCCCTTTCTCCTACTCTCTCAATGATACTCAAGGACAAAAGCCCTCACTCCCCAATCCCTATCAACACTTCCATGGTTTCAGAAATGGGGGTTGGTGACGGCTAAGGGCAAATTGACTCTGGAGGAAGACAACCTGGCTTCAATTTCTGGCTCTGCTATTTATTAGCTATGTGACTTTGGCTGCTACCCTCATGAGACTGTGGTGAGGACTGAACACTTTCATACGTGCAAAGCTCTTAGGAGACTAAGGCTGGCACATAGTAGGTGTCATGTCAGTGTCGGCCATCATTATCACCACACCTGGTTAGTTTTTTCTGCGTTCTTGATTTAAGGAAGCACCAAGTATGAGTGTCTAATGGACTCAAGCTCTGCCATGTTAAAAGAGGTATTCTAAGTAGACCAAAGCCTCCTTGAAAGCAGAACCTTTGTATTTTCATCTGTGTATTCCCAGTGCCTGGTATATAGATAGCATAGTAATATGTTGAATGAGAGGAGCTTGCTTACCCAAATTAGCATAGTATGGGCATGCCATGTTGGATTCTCCCCAGGGATCTTTAGGTCTTTGCCATCATGTCTTGCCACTCCTAGTTCCCCAGGGGGGATTGGTGCAGAGAATGGGCCTGAGGGAGGGTGTCCTCGTTTTGGAGTGAAGGCAGAGAAGACCTTAGCCAACATCTCCCTGTCCAAAGCCTGTTTTGCCCAATGACATTCACTCAACTTCCCAACATGCTGTGTCATACAGTCCATTGATTTTATGCCAAACATTACATGCTTTTTACATTAGATGGAACTTTTGGTAACTATATCCCCCATGAAATTCAGTAAACTACTCAGTCCTAACTGTGTTCAAGTCAACCATTTAAATGTGACCTCTGGTCACAGAAAAAAAAAAAAAAAAGCTTAAAATCTCTCATAACTAAAGAAATGCAATTTTAAACAATGAGATATCATTTTTAACCTATCAGATTAGAAGAAATACAAAGTTTAATTAAAACTAGGGTTGGAATGGTTGAGGACCATTTGGACATTATTCATCAAGATTTAAGATGCACTAACTCATGGTCCACAAGTTCATGTCTTCAGATTTATTCAAGATATAGCTGCACAAATGTGCAAAGAGATACATGTAAAGGATGTTCATTTTGGCACTGTTAAGGAGTAACAAGAAGCCAAGATGATCAGAATGTTTATCTCTGGGGACTATTTATGAATGGAATCAATTTTAAGAGATCCATTCAAAGGAAATATTTAAAAGGATGACATGTTTATCTGCTCTGATTTTAAAAGACTTTGAAAGTATGTTTTTAAATTATACTAATAAATGGAAAAATTACAACAAAATATTGCTGCTCAAATCGAGTTAGGTAAAAGAAAAGGATATATACTCGTGTATGTGCATGTTAACAGGAAACTATAGACAGTAATTTAGTGGTGGCTTCTTAGGGGCGAAACTACGGGCTTAGAAAGCTTACTTTTCACTTCATGCTTTTCAATACTGTAAGACAAAAATGTGTATGCGTTACCTTTTTAAAAATATTTTTTTTTAAATCAGGAAATATAATAAACATACCGAAAAAAGCACATAGAATATAAATGTGCACCTTAGTGAATTGTTGAAAAATCAACCCCAGAAACCCTAAGTCAAGAAATAGAACATAATCAGCATCTCAGAGGCCCTTGCCTTTCCTTTCCTGATCATAATCCTTTCTCTTAGTTTTTGTGTTTTTTTTTGTTTTTTTTTTTTGCGGTACACGGGCCTCTCACTGTTGTGGCCTCTCCTGTTGCGGAGCACAGGCTCCGGACGCGCAGGCTCAGCGGCCATGGCTCACGGGCCCAGCTGCTCCACGGCATGTGGGTTCTTCCCGGACCGGGGCACAAACCCGTGTCCCCTGCATATGCAGGCGGACTCTCAACCACTAGCGCTACCAGGGAAGCCCCTTTCTCTTAGTTTGAAGTGCTATCCTGATTATGTATTCATTTCTTTGCTTTTCTTTCTAGTATCGCTATCTAATTATCCACACATAGATTATACGGTTTGATTTTTACCTGTTTTTAACTTTATAGAAATGGAAAAATACAGTATATATTCTATTGTGTTTGGCTGCTTTTGTCCACCATTATATCTTTAAGATTTACCTATACTGTTGTATGTATATTTAAAGTTGATTAATTTGCATTGCTATATAGAATTATATCATTAAACATATCATATTTATTCATTCCATCCCTGATGAATATTGGGGTTGTATTCAGTTTTGGCTAACACAAACAATGCTGTTTATAAACATTCTTGTTCATGTGTTCTGGTGCACAGAAGCATGCTTTCTGTAGTGTATATACAGGATGGAATTGCTGGATCGTGGGATATTCATGTCTTTTATTACTTGATATTGCCAAACTGTTTTCCAAAGTGAGTCTGTAACAATTAACACTCCCACCCAGTGTCTGAGACTTCCTGTGCTTGCCAACACATGGTCCTATCAGACTTTAAAAATGTTTTGCCATGTATGTAGAAATATGTAGAAATATCTCATTGAGGTTTTAATTCATATTGCCCTGATTACTCAAGAAATTGAGTATTATTACTTTTATAATTTAAAATAATAAATATTAGATCAAGACCAGGACATATAGTATCACAGAGAGATTCTTACATATTTCTACCCATGTATCTGAAAGGAGGTCTTGTTGTTACTGTCCAAATTTGTTTGAACTTTCAAATTAAAATGAAGCGGCATCTATATGTTCTCTGTATGTGCATTCTAAAGGTCCCGGCAAGGGGCTTAAACCATGGGGAGATGTACAAATGAAGGGGCCTGGCTTTGATGTAAAAATCTTTGACTGTTGGGCTTCCCTGGTGGTGCAGTGGTTGAGAGTCCGCCTGCCGATGCAGGGGACACGGGTTCGTGCCCCGGTCCGGGAGGCCGGAGCCTGTGCTCTGCAACGGGAGAGGCCACAGCATTGAGAGGCCCGCGTACTGCAAAAAAAAAAAAATCTTTGACTGTTAGAGAAAAAAGGAGCAGAGGTTCTTGTGTGGTCCCCAGACCAGCTGCAGCCGCATCACTTGGGAGCTTGGTAGTGGAGGAAGAGAATCCAAAATTTGCCCATGGGAATGGGGGCAGAGAGAGGTATTTGCCGCAGATGGGCAATCTTTGGGGGAGGAAAATAGATCTAGGGGGCAAAAAAAGCCTTCTCGTGTTGGTTGATTTACTTCTGAGAAACTTGAGTTTCCTTAGAGATTTAAAAAAAAAAAGAGTAAGGTGCAAGTGTAGCAGCTTAAAATGAACAAATTAAGAATAGCATCTGAAAATGGGTGGGTGAACAGCTGAAGGGTTGCCCTAATTTAAGGAAAAGTACAAAAATTGGTATCTAGAAAGCAGCAGAAGGCTTCTTTAGAGCCAGTCCCTCTCTGTACTCTCACTCATCTTTCCAAACCAGGGACACATCCTTCACCTTGTATTCATCTAGCCAAACGTGCACCAGTCTGAGATTATTATACGCCAAGGCTTTTGCAATTCCAGTGTGGTTTGCAACGTGTTGCTTATCAATATGTCCTACTCGAGAGCAGGGGAGTATAAAGAGTTGGCCTCCACACATCCAGATCTAGACATAAGAAAAATAGAAAACATATTAATGATTAATGAGTGTTTGCTAGTAATAGGCAACTGCTGAACTAAAACAAAAATAACAAGAGCTAACATTTATTAAGTTTCTTATTTCATTTGATCCTCACGACAACCCTATCGTGTAGGTACTGTGATCATCCCTATTTTACAGATGAAGAAACTAACACATACATTGGTTAAGAAGCTTGCCCAGTGATATAGTGGCAGAGCACAAGGTTCAAACTCAGGAAATCTGGCCCTAGAGTCAGTGCGCTGAATACCAAGTGATCCTGCCTCGCTTATACATGACCAGTTCTGATACTGATTATGTATGAAGACTGACAAGATATTTTATCTTAGGATATTCTCAAACAATATTCTGAGAGTAACATTTTCTGAGGTGATTAAGTATTGCTGGATATAAGCAAATAATAAGAGAAATAGCAATCATGGCTGAATTCAGTTATTCATCTTTTTTGTACTTAAAACACTTTAAAACGCTTATTTTTAATAACTTTTTATTACACACAAGCAAAATATGACCATTGAAAAACTAAGAAATGTAGAAAAGCACACAGAAAAAGGTAAAAATAACTTTTCGTTTTAACACTTTGTCAGTCAATATTAATCCAAGTATGTATGTGTACATACACAGATACACAACATTAAGATAACCTGCTTTTCTTCATTTGATATTATGTGAAGTTACTTTAAAAGTCTTGTATTGTTGGACATTTTGGTAGTCTTTGATTTTTATTATTATAGATAATAGCACAAAAAATGTGCTTGTAACATAAATCTTATGTATAGTACACTTGCATGACTCTTCTCTTTACTTTAATTCAGTGATTCTTGCATGGTCTCCAGACCAGCAGCATCAGCATCACTAAGGAACTTAGAAATGCAAATCCTTGGGCCCACCCAGACCTACAGAACTAGGAAGTCTGGGTCTGGGGGCACAGTAATCTGTATTTTAACCAGCTCTTTAGGTGATTCTGAGGCACACTAAAGTTTGAGAACCACTGTTCTAATTGATCAAGGTAGTATATCCCAGTTTTATAGATATTTTCTTAGGTGGATTCACCTAATCATTTAGGGAACAGTAGTAGGAGAATAAGACTCACTGAAAACAATACTCAGAAGTATTATGGTGAAATATATCACTCAGATAGTCAGAAAGGATTATGTTAAAGAAAATGGAAAAGCAGAACTTCTGACATAACATGAGACCTACTGACTGGTGCAGGCCAACCTCTAGAGTTCTTTAGAAATACCCAGAAACATCCCCACAGAACGTCTAGAAAAATATCCATTGAATTCCTTCTCTAAAATGGATGGCTCAGTAGAAAAACTCTGAGACCAAAAGTCCAAAGAATTAGGTTCTTTTATCATCTCTGCCACATGCTTATGATCAGACGTATCCTCTCTGACTCTCATTTTCATCTGGAATTGAGAACTAAATAGTTGCTCATTTAAGCTACCACTCGGGGTGCTTTGTTATGCAGCAAAAGCTAACTGATACTAGCCACCTATAATGTCTTATTCTCTTTTTTTAAAGTGAGAACTTAAAGAAATTTGGAAAATCATTAATATCTGTTTAATAATTAGAATGGATACAGAAGTATCTATTATTATTGGTACATTCTTACATGTTTGAAATGTTTCTGTATTAAAAAAAGAAATCTGGCTATGAGTATAGAATAGAAAACAAAAGTCAAGTAACCAAAGTGATAAAGGAGGAATATAAGTAAAAAATGTATTTAAAAACTTTCTCAAAAATCAAATTGAGGGAAGCTATTGCAATGTAGCCCAGTGTTCATAGGACCCACAAAGTTGTTCTTTTCTTCTTGATTCATTCTCAAAGGGAAACATGATCCATCTGGACGTGCCTTTTGCTCTGTTCTTTAGGTGATGGTCAGCTTTCTTTCTCAGATATACTGCTGGAAGTAGTCTGTCCAGCTCCCAGTTTCTATTATTATTATTATTATTGGAGGAGGAAGAGGATGACAAGAAGGCAGAGTATCCCATTAAGAGTTAGTATAGTGTAGTGGTGCACAGCACAAACTCTAGGGCCACTCAGTGTGGTTCAAATCCCCTATGAGCTGTGTGATCTGGGGCAAGTTACTGAAGTTACTCAACCTATTTGTGTCTCAGTTTCCTCACCTGTAAAATGAGAATAATAACAGTACCTGCGTCATGGGATTGTTACGAGCATTAGAAAATCTGATACTTGTAGAGTGCTTAGAGTTCGTGTTTTGTAAATGAGAGTGTATCTCTGTTGTAGTGAAGTGTGGTAGACTGCAAGTGTGGTCACAAGTGCTTTTCATTCTTACATGCATACTTAATTGCAATGTAACTGTACTTCATTCCATCAAGAGGTGAGGTTTATTTCTCCATCTCTTGAATCTGGTCTTGGCCTCATGATTTGCATTGGTCAACAGGACATGAACAAACGTGATGCAAACAAATGCCTGAAAAGTGTTTGTAGCGCTTTGGGACTTGCCTTCTCTTGCTGCTCTTGGGAACCTTGTGACCACTTCACTGAGAATGAGCTTCACTAGCCTGCCTGACAATGAGAGACAAATGCCCTGGTCATGGCCACTGTTCCACCTATTATTGGGCCAATGTCCACATATGTAAATGAGGCCATCCCATATGAGCCAGCACCAGCTGAGCCTCCCGATGAGCAGAGATGTGTAAGCAATACCAACAGAAACCAGCCATCCTGGCTATGACCAAAATAACCACTTTAGCAATACAATGAATTTTGAGGACTTACAATTGATTGTTGTTTGAAGCCACTGTATTTTGGGACAGTTTGTTACACAGCAAAAGCTAACTGATACATGAGGGAACATATTTCTCTTAACCAGTTTTACTCATTAAGTAAATAGGACCTCCATCCACTGAGTTGCTCATTCCAGAAACTTGGTGTGATAGATGGAAACACTGTTCAGCAATATTATCTCACTCTCCACCCCTCACTAAGGGGTGGAGTATATTTCTCTGACACACTGACTTTGGGCTTGTCCATTTGACATGCTTTGACCCATGGAATGTGAGCAGACATGATGCCTGTGGAGGCTTTAAATGTGCTGTGTGGTTTGGCTTGACTTTTGCATTCTTGCTTATCAACATGAGAAGAATATGCCCAGAGTTGCTACTAGAATGATGAGCAGACCTGACCAAAGTCAGAGCCCAGAGCCCAGCCCTGCCAGTGTAAATTCCGAGGCAGAGCCATGCTGGCCAACACAGAGACATAGGAAAGAAAAAAGCAGAGGCTTCTTGCTCTAAGCCAACCAGTTTTGAGCTCGCTTGTAACAAGCATCATCGTGGCATTAGCTGACTGATCATTGGGTTGTCCATGACACCCCTTTCTCTCGATAACCACGTAGCTGGTCAGTCTCTGGGTTCTGTCCATTCTACTTGTAAGTATGCCCGGAATCTGTCCAGTTCTTTCTGTTGCCGTTGCTACTGCTCTGGTTCCATCCATTGTCACCCTTTGTCCAGGTTATTGTAAGAACCTCCTGGTCTGCCTGCTTATCCTCCACTATGTCAGCCTCCACAGCCACTGTCCCTGCCCTGCTTAAAACATACCAGTGGCATTTCGTTGCACGTAAGACACATCTAAATCCTTACAGGGTCCTGCAGAGTCCTGCCCCTGCCTCCCTCTCCAGCTTCATCTTGCTGTTCTCTCCTCACTCATTCTGGTCCAGCCTCACTGGCCTTCTCCACTGACACATATGGGTTGGAAGGCTGTCCGCTTTCCAAGTCAGTGGGCAGAAACTGGGGCATTACTGAGTCTCTTCTTACTCTTTGTCTGTAATCTGCATTTGTGAGGGGAAGCAGGGGTGCACCATGCAACAAAGCCAGGGTACGAGTTTCTCAGTCAGTCTTGCTGGCCTCACAATTATGGGGGTGCCTCCCAGATTCAGGCTGACTATTCATTTTAATTTCTAGTGGGATCTCATCTTTTCCAGTCTCAATACATATCTTAGTAGAAAGTTAGGAGAGGCTGCTGCCCAGATACCATTTTAAATTAGAACTCTGGGAGAGCTGTAGCATAAAAGGAGAGGAACGAACATTGGCTGGGAGCACTTTAGGTGGCAGAAGCTGTGTTAGATGCCTTATGCCCATCGCTGCGGTGAATGCACACGGTACCACTGCAAGGTGTCTATTATTCTGATCGTTTATGCGCGGGGCCTTTTAGACTCTTGAGTGGTTCAACTACTCAGCAAATATTTCTCAACCACTTTTTACATAGTCAAAGTACCAGGTGCTGAGAACGCATGTTGAACAAGTCAGATCTTTCCCTGCCCTCATGGAGCTTACAGCTGGTGGGAACACACAACTGGCAGGGCCCAGCACAGAATAAAAATGGGGTCTCAGGTTCAAAAATTATTAAAAGTTTCAAGATGGCAACAGCAGAGCCTTAAGCCAGGTGTGGGGTTCTTCTAAACATGGTACCATGTGCCACCACCCAGGCTGCCTGTCTACACAGCCTGCCCTGCACACACAGACAGGAGACAACTGTGATACAGCACAATAAGTGCTGTCATGGGGGAAGCATGCATAGGAGGGGAACGGATCCCAGACTTGGGTGTGTGTGTCTATGTGCGGGGGGCAGGTAAGGAAGATAAGGTCAAGAAAGTCTTCCCGAAGAAATTACATCAAAGCTGTAGCTGTGGATTACGGCGGTGGGGAAAGAGGAAAGTGAACAGAGGCAGGTGATGATTTAGAGGTAGAACTGCCCAGATAAGGTGAGGTCAACGTGGGGCAGGAGAGGGAGTGTGGAGTCCAGGGAGGCTCTCCATGGGGGACGTGTGTGCAGATAACTGGTGGGGTGGGGGAGAGGTAGCATGTCATCCACTCATAGAGGGAACATGGGAGGAGGAATTTGGGTTTAGCATACCTGTGGGACACCCCTGCCATGGTAACTTGTAGGCGATAGACCACACGAGCTTATGACTCAGGAGAAGGAACTGGGAAGGAGCGAGA